CCCCCGCGCCTGTGGAATGAATGTTTTGCGAGCGGGGGCCGCCTTGCGCCGCGCCTGCGTGATGTATTTGTTTGTCTGCTGAGAAGCCTTTGGGAGGGGCAGGCGGCCAGCGGAGGCCAAAGAAGTGAGCAGACCGTTTGTTTGTTTGCAGATATTGTTATTTCCTGCGGGCGTTAGCCGCGCCGCCTTCTGCGAGGGGCCGCGTTGGGGAGCTGGCGGGCGCGGCTCTGCCCCCGCCGCTCCGCGAGCTCCCTGCGTGCCCGGCCGCGGCAAAAAAACGCCTGGATGTAATAAATAGTCGTTTATTTTTGCGTGCTGGGCACGTATCCCTTTGGAAGCGGAGCGGCGGGCACAACCTGCCGAAGTGTTTGTTTTCTCGTGTTTTTTGTTCCCCTTTCCCCCGTGGGTGGTGCCTGGGGGCGCAGGAGGCCCCCCACCACGAGGGCGCCTTTTCCCTCTTGAGTGCTTGTTTTTCTTTTTCTTTTCTTTTTAGTTTTGGTTCTGTTTTGGTTTGTGTGTTTTTGTGCTACGGCCCCCTCCGCGCAGTCCGTACGCCGCGTGCGCTGAGAGTGGCGGCGGTGACGTCCTTCCTGTGCGGGGGAGTGCGCTCCGGCGTGTGTAACTGCTGCGTGCGCATTGCGTGTGTGTGGGGCCGCCGGCAGCGACGGTGCGGACGTCCCCCGCGCCTGTGGAATGAATTGTTTTGCGAGCGGGGGCCCGCCTTGCGCCGCGCCTGCGTGATGTATTTGTTTGTCTGCTGAGAAGCCTTTGGGAGGGGCAGGCGGCCAGCGGAGGCCAAAGAAGTGAGCAGACCGTTTGTTTGTTTGCAGATATTGTTATTTCCTGCGGGCGTTAGCCGCGCCGCCTTCTGCGAGGGGCCGCGTTGGGGAGCTGGCGGGCGCGGCTCTGCCCCCGCCGCTCCGCGAGCTCCCTGCGTGCCCGGCCGCGGCAAAAAAAACGCCTGGATGTAATAAATAGTCGTTTATTTTTGCGTGCTGGGCACGTATCCCTTTGGAAGCGGAGCGGCGGGCACAACCTGCCGAAGTGTTTGTTTTCTCGTGTTTTTTGTTCCCCCTTTCCCCCGTGGGTGGTGCCTGGGGGCGCAGGAGGCCCCCCACCACGAGGGCGCCTTTTCCCTCTTGAGTGCTTGTTTTTCTTTTTCTTGTTTCTTCCTTTTTAG